CTTCCCCAAGTAATCTAGCTCCAGACCGCTACATTAAGCTACCAATAAGGTAATATAGTGAATGTGCTCTGCAAATATAAAATGTGCGAATGCAAGGTTGCACTAAAGGCACAGGCTTTGTTGTCGGCTCTCGTGTAAGTCTCTTAATAGCTATGTGAACCTAAGTAAACCATTGAACTTCTCTAAGCTTCAATTTTCTGTTCTATAAAATAGGGATAGTGTAAAAACAGATCTTATGAATAGAATTAGAAACATTATGCTTGTAAAGAATTAGCAGAGGGCTCGGCATACAGCAAGCACTCCATAAATGCTCATTATTCTTAGCTATTACTAAGAATTTGCCTTATTTTCATAAACACTCACCTTTACTGGTGGAGTTTTCCAAAATAGGTGCAATCTATCAGTACTGAGAGAACAAAAGTTTATGGAATTAAGTCTCAGAATCTGTAAATATATGGTAATACAATTTAGAGAAGGAAAAGACTACTATTTGCCTCAATAGCATCATCAAACATTTAAAGTGCCTTGGTAACATGAAAATGTGTTAGGTACTGTACGAAATAATCAAAACATAATCCCTGACATCAAAAGTACACAATCAAGCCAATTAATTCTGCTGAATGGACACAAACAGCAAACTCTCCAACTCCGGGCATTTTCCCAACCAGATGCACCTATGGTCTATTAAGTTCCCTTCTGTTTGTGGTATTGTAGTCATGAAAATATGTGGAAGCATCAGCTTGAAAATAATAAACCACCTAAATCCAGTGTGGAACAATAAAGATTCAGGAGGAAATGAGCTGCGCGCACTATCCACACTCTTGCCCTCCCAAAAACATTTTAGTATCTTAGTACTAACAATCTCAGTTAATTAACTAGAAGAGGGGGAAAAAAGCAAGACAAGAAGCTCAGAGGAAAAAGGTACAGAAACAAATTATGAGAGGAGAAATAAATTTGGAAAGTTATAAAAGCCAAAATAACCATAAATAAATAAAAAGGTTTAAACAGGTTTAAATAAAACAAGTTTTTATTCTGCATTTTACCATGTGCCTAACGTCTAACGTCTTAGAAACCAAAGAACTAACAGCTGTTCCTAAAATTGCTGCTCCTTATTCCTTTTCAATCCCAAGGTTCCTGTTAGCTCTTAAAGTGAAAGAGAGGGGAAAGGAAAGCACAGAGTACAGAAGGATTTGTCTAATAGTACAGCTAACATCATGCCACACACATCTTAGAGCTTGGCTTCAGCTCAACTATGAGAGTCATGGCTAGACCATAATCCTGGTAATCTGTGGATTCCATTAGAAAAGTACTTCCACAACTCCAAACTAAGGATCTATAACACTTCCATGAGCCACTGCAGGAGATCTGGAGACATAATTTCTAACATTTTAGAAGCATTTCTACCTCATTTTCAGAGGTCATGCTATTTGAAGAGATGTTCTCCAACTTTATAATAGCGATTGACAGCCACATGTACCTATCTCCATACTTATTTGCCATAACACCCATATGCATGGCTTCAAGCCATAGCAAACCACAAACTCACTACTACTGCACCCACTGGCTCTTTGACAACGAGTAGAACAAACTGTGGATCATAAATCAGTATTACATTTTCCTAAAAAAAAAAAGTGAAGGTACTTTCAACAATAAAAGCAATCTGTGTCAACCAAAAACTTAGCTCATATGTACACAATTAGGCAACAAAAACTAAGAATGAGTAATTAATATATTCTTCAGTGGTTTTCTTAAAGTAAGAAGGGGAGGGGAGAAATAGAGGCAAAAGTCAAAACAGTTGTTGTATATTCATGGTACGCTCTAATGAACACCTGCCCGATATCAGCCAGATTTCATCCAGCTCTCACCTGCCCTATTCAAACTTAATGAAATTGAAGTACAAGCTATACCAGTTGTTTCTCCTCTTCCACCACACTTAGGGATAGAAGGTATCTTTAGGAAGGAAAATGAGTTGAATTTCACAGAAAAATTCTTAACTGATCAAATAGCAGCAAAGGTAGATAGAATTCATAGCCAAAGATAGATCTTACATAAAATAAGCAGCTTCTAATGGCTCTTAGTCTGCTTTACTGCTCACTACAGTGACGAAGTCATCTAACTTGTTTATACAGTCTACATGCAGAAAAACTTCTGGCACAAATTTCTTGAGCCACTTCTACTCAAAGAACCTCCAGGCTGAGCCTCTGAAATACAGAGCTCGAATCAAAACAAAAAAGGATGAAGACCAGAAAGGAATATGAAGAACAAATGTTTACTAATCACTTCTTGTTTGTTCCACCTTTCTAAACTGGTCCTAGTTCAGCCTCTAACTCTTGTCTGCCATGATCCATTAATTCAGCTATTATGATAAAATGTTCCCAATCTCTCTAGGCCCTTCTAATTTAGGCAAGTTCTGACACAGTGCTATTTTTTTCTACAAGATCCAGATGAAATCTTTTGACAGTCCCTGGAACTCTGATTTCCTCCTAGATACCTGCTCCACAGCCCTAGAATTACTGCAGAGAAGACGGGTTGTGAATGGTCCTGGGGAAACAAGTGGGTGGAGTAAAGGAATTCTAGCAACTGGGCTCCCCTACTCCAACATCAGGCAAGTTTTCTTTCTTCCCTACATTATTTAACAAGCAAGCAGGGAGGAAAAGGCTGAAACATAGATGAGAGGATGATGCAAAGAGCTACCCCAAGCTTTTTAGGACTCCTTGTATCTTTTCACTGATTATAGGAACCGAGCCTGGAAAATACCTTTGGAATATGTCTTGTGTGTAGAAATGCATAAAAGATAACACCTTGCAAAAGTCAAACATACAGGTTTAATAATGTGAAACTAATGAAGATGGTTTATAAATGAAATACCACCTACACATTTAGTTCCCTAAATATATTATACGATTAGTTATGAAAGTTAGACCTATAAGTACAAATTTCCATGTGGAAAAGTAAATCTGTTTTTAAATTAAAAGAAAAATTATTACTCTATTTCTTAAAAATAAAACTATCAAGATGTAATTCAAGTGTAGCTGCTCATAGTCACTGAATAAGTTTAAATTTGATAATAAAACATTTAAGTTTCAACCAATGCACCTTTGCTGAAGCACATTTAGCTGAAATAACTTCGAGTCTGGTTTATTTCCATCACATATAGTACATTTTTCCAACAAGAGCATGTACATTCAATATAGAACATTTCCAGCAACAGTTACAGTCTTTCTAGTTTCCTTTCACAGTATATTTTAGTGCAAAGCACTGGGAAGGGTAAATGTTTTTCTGGCTATAGAATCATTTTATTAAGACCTTGTGGATCTTCAACACTTTAAAACTTTGTACAAAAAGTATAGAGATAAACAGGGTCCCTCCTAAGTACAGGTGTGAGCCTATATAAAAACATGGTATATTTTCTGCTGTACCTTTTTAAAATTATAATTTGACACAAATTACTAAAAAATAAAGTATTCCCTAAAAAGTACAAAATATTGATACACAAAAACCTGCCCAAAATTTCATAAAGATAGATGTACTTCTGTTTTTCCTAAAATCTTGATTACAAAAATGAACAAGAATTCATTATTTTCTAAATTTTACAGTAGGAATCAAACATTATCTAAAGTGGTCTTTTAAGATTTTTCTTGGGAGAAAAAAAATCAGGGTTTACACCCGCATCTTCCTTTTCTTAGCAATATTTAAAGAAATAAACTAGTATCATAAGAAGTGGTTGTGCATGGATTGTCTGCATCCATAAAATATCAGTAAGCTATTTCTACGTACTACCTTCATAATAACATTAGTAAATGTGTGGTCTTTAAAAAAAAATAGAAACTGACAAATAAGGTTGCATCTATCATTAAAGTGCTTTGTATAAAATTTAAAGAAAAACAGGGGAATGTTTAATTTTCATAAAAACCTCAGATGTTTACAAATGAAAAATGTAATTATCCATGCATGAAAATGACCTGGAATCTTCCTGTAATATGTACTTTAGAATGAAACTCTCAAATTACTTAAGTGCTAGAGAACAAGTTAGAAGTAAATAGATGTAAAAATAATTACAAATATTTAATAGGCTAAATATTTATAATGTGCTGATACTAATTTGTCTTTTGTTCCTAACATACACTCACTAGAAAATCATAGTATCTGTACAATCCAGATAAAATGTTGCCAAATGAAGTGAAACAAAACTAAAATCACTACAATATAAAGTCTCTGCCAATTAAAAATTGATTATTTTCTTCAGGTTGTTGATCACTTTAATCAACACATTGTTTGGAAAACAAAATTTGCAACATTTTTTTAGAAACTGTAGACCAATTGCACAAGGTCAAGGGTGGTTAGCTGACACACTTGTGATGAAGATATGTAAATGTCACAGCTACTTGAAAGTGCTGGAACAGGCAGTGCCTTAGAAACAAGTGGTTAGATGGTTATTATTTTAGTCAGAAAACAGCAGTTACAGTTGAATATTTATGAAAATGTTTCTCTTTTGTTTTCCTCACAGTACCATCTGAAGACGTTTAGTGGTTTTAACACCAATTTAAAGTCTTTCCACAAAAATGAACTCCAAACCTTTTCGTACATCACTTGAAGTTATCTGAGGAGAAATGGGAATAAATGAATACTTTTGAGTTTACCAACAAAACCTTATTTTTAAAATTATACAATAGTAAATGACTTCTAATGGATGGTTTCATCTCAAATTTTCCACACAAATAAAAAAATGTGTGATAATCAGGCCACAACATTTAACCTACTCAGCACTCAAACTAAGCATTTTGCTTTAGAATCTGAATCTGAAACTAATTTAATACTCATTAAATACATTAAATGCCTTAAAACAATGGACACAGGTATTAAAGGTAAACTTTTAAAATATATATAGACTTACAAAAACAATTATAGGGAGTCTACTCCTTATTTTATATTGCATTTTAAAAATCTATATTTGTTCTAAAACTTTCTTTAAAAAGTAATATTATTCTTTCTTTCAAATAATAATTTTACTTCTCTTGCAGCGCACAACCACAAAAAAAATCCCTAATCAATAATATTAACTATGCTAAAATGATCACCAAAAAGTTTATCAAACAGAAAGGGGAAAATAAGAATATTTGGGACCTAAATAATCATTGTTTCCATAGTTCAAAACTAAAAAACAATAACTAACACACACTCCCAAGGAAAAAGGAAAAAAGAAACCAAACGTTTGTTCACCAACTCTCCCCCTTTGCCTGGAAGCCCTATGTTAAAAGTAAATAATAAAAGCTAATCATCCTAAATTCAATTTGGGGATTGTTTTTTTCTGAGTGCAGCACTTTATTTAGCCATCACAGATTATTTTTACAATAATTACAGTGCCTCAAAATATTTTTTCCTATAATTATCGCCTTTGCAAATTATTCTAATATATTTAACTTTCCTACTATGCATTAATTAGTAGACTAAGTCACTGAATCAAATTAAACCTGTGCAAAGTTAGTTAAACAGAAGACTTCTATTGTAAACACAAGCCAATATAAATGTATATATTTTACAACATTAAAAGGAAAGCACTGACCCTCTGCCATCTACCTATAACTACATTGCATTGTCCTGTGGAAGGTAAGTTCTGAAGTTAACTTTTGTTCCCAAGCCACTGGAATAAAGGTCACTGAAGAGGTAAATGCAATATGCACATTACTCTTGCAGTTCCCACTGCCATAAGATATACGGAAGCAAACAAGTTAAAATGGAACCAGCTATAAATTACGGTTAAATGACTTTTTTTTTTTAGTTCGATGGGGGGAAAAAAGCAAAACTCTTTAACTGTTCCTCACCAGACAAGAGCCTTAGATCTGGTACTTCGGCCTTTGGTTTTGTTTCCTTCAGGTGAATTGGAAGCATTTGCCTTATGAGTTTTCTTATGATGTTCAAGGTAAGTCTTTTTGGCAAATGCCTTTCCACACTTATTGCATCTGTGAAGAGAAAAGTTTTTTGTGACTTTTACTTCAATACCGACGTCAGCTACTTCGTACTTTTTACTAGGAGAGTTAGAAGTGCCATCGTGTTTCGAATCACTATGTTTTGCTTCATCCCTCGAAGGGCCTCTTTTTGCCACTTTATTTAGAACAAAATCAATGGGCTTTTTTATAGCTCTGATCTCTAAACTGGCTGTTATTTTCCCAAGATAGCGAGATGACTTTTTATGAACCACAGTTATATGTCGTATCACATCGCGTTTCCGACGAGTTTCATAAGTGCAAAGAGGACACTTGTAGAATTTAACATAAATGTTATTTCCATCTGTGTGCAACTCTATGTGCTTAGTCAAGTTCTGTTTGGAAGTAAACTGACGTTTACAAAGTTTACAGTAAAGTTGCTTAAAGTCAAAGCCAGCTGAAAGTTTTGGTTTCCTAGTTTTTTGCTGGCCACCTGCAGCCGATGGACTAGTTGATTTAGGGCTTTCAGAGTCTGGTTTGACTTTATTTTTCTGTGCTGCCGGTGTGTTCTTTTTTTCATTTGAATGATTTGTTCCCTTTAATTCATTCTGTGGAGAATGGGTAATGGAAGGGGGTGAAGATTCTACAGAATCTGCTGGTTCAACTTTAACTTTTATTTCTGAACTGTTGGCAGTATTATTAGGGCCTTTTTCTCTTTTAGAGTTTGTTCCAGAAAGAGTTATCTTGTGGACAATTTGCATATGTCTTTTAAGCATTATTTGTGAACTATATTTCCTCTTGCAAAGGAGGCATTTGCATGCAGTTAAATTGTATTCAGCCTTTGAAGACGACTTTTGTTTTCGAGTCTTAAAAGATTTTTTAGGAGAAATAGAATCCAGGAACAAAGGTTGCCCAGGCTTTGTTGCTATATCAGGAGTAATTGAATCCCTCCTTAGTCCTCTATGAACTTCATCAAAATGCCTCCTTACATTCGCTTTTGTAGCAAATGATTTACAGCATACTGGACAGCTTCTACTTAATGGAACTAGAACATTCTTACTGCGTCCTTTAGAGCACTGGTTTGGCTTCTTTCGTGTTTCAATGTACTTTTTTAGTTCTTCCATCTTTTTCTTGTGTACTTTGCGAATGTGACGACGAACACCTCGTCTAGAATTAAATTCTTTTCTACAAAGACAACATATCAACTGGTGACCAAAATCAGAATTGTCAGAAGTTTCCAAGTCAGCCTGTGACTCCTGAGGTGGTTCCTCAGATACAGGTGCCACTTCATCTGCAACAATCTCAACAGGAGGTGGCTCTACAGTTTCCACCTCTGTTTCTGTAATTGGTATTGTTTTAGACTGCTCAGTGCTAGCTTCCTGTATTTGAACTTCAGCTGGTTCAGGAGTACTGCTTGACTCTGTGACTTCAGTAGGATTATCAGTCCTTGAAATATACTGAAACACTGCATTTTGATTCGTTTCTATGGGTTCTAGCTTAATAATATATTCTCGCTTGTCCACACTTGGATATATGGCTTCTAGGAGATCATTTATGGCTTGACTTTGTTTATCATTTACATCAGGAAGGTCTGTTAAGGAAAAAACAACATTTTAATCTGAAATAATTAGCCTGCTCTAGCCCTCTTAATATTTTAAAATACATTATGAACCTCTATGTCAAAATGTATTGTTACTGGTTTGCATTTACTTCTACAAAAGCATTATATGAAGCTAAAAACTCTTCAGCATTTTATGAAGCTAAAAACTAGTATCAAACTAAAATTGCCTTTAATTTAAATTCTCATAATATACAAATGTTAACGAATAGGTACAATTTGAACAGCTACTTCTGCATCTAAGTGTGCTTAATATAAAATATGTAAATACTTGATTATCCTAAGCAATAAAAATAGTCCTTCATATTTTTAGTCTGACCATTTCATACTCGCAAAGGCAACTCAAAGTTCTCATAACCCAGGATAGATGAAACATCATGAAAAATATTACTATGTAAATAAATTATTTTTCTTTAGAAAACATGACAGCATTCCATTAACTTAACCCATAATAAATCATCTAGCCCAGTCTATCTAAACAACTCACGGAAATGAAAAAGATTTGAAAGCAAATAGATAAATATAAATGGCATAATGTATAGATGTCTTTGCTGAACTCAGTCTTATTACGTCTTATTAACATGATGCAATTTTACTAAAACAAATTATTAAAAACATATTGGTTCCAAAAATACAGCTAGTTTTATTTACTTGTACCCAATTACACCCTCTATAGGCAACCAAATATCCTACTCTAATAGAGCTGTCTAACTCAGTGGATTAGGTTTTTACATACAACTCTACAATCTGGCTGCAAATCCAGCACCACACCTGATGTCTATTTAGAAATAAGGAAGTGATTCATTATGCTCTTCTAGTCTACTCATTTTTGTTTTAAAATGAATACAGTTGTATCTATGAGGAAAATACTTTCACAAAAGTATTTCTAGAATAAGTACTGACAAGAAGAGTGCATAGTAATCTAGCAAATTCATTCATCTATTTTACTCTTTAGGTGAAAAATAAAGAATTTTACAACTAAAAAAACAAAGAACAACCAAAAACAACCTAACTTTCTACTAGTATTTTAACTTAAAAGTTTGATTGGAAATTAATCTCTATAGATCAAACAGTAGTAGGCCAAATTTCCAGATAAATAGGAAATTGTGTTACATCTATGCCCTACAATATAATTTAAGCCAGCTTCATTATCATTAAAGTCATACTCTGTTATTTGGAAATTGCATTTTATCCCGACCCCAAGAAAATCAAGTTGAAAAGCACACAAAATACATAATGCATCTATGATATCAGACTGACAAAGTTCTATATTTTGAAAATCAACAAAGAGTTAAATTCCTAAACAAAAAATAATGAAGCAACTCACTATTAAACTACTTTTTAAGTTTACCTTAATTCTTTAAAGAAAGAAAGAAATACCATAACATATACTGCTAACTTAATCATATAGGAACAATACGCTTAATTCAAAACAAACATGTGGTTCCACAAAGACTTTATATTAGTCTGCTATCTGCCTTTATTCACACAAAGCTCTTTCGGATCTCAAGTGAGCCTGTGACATAATCTAATTTTTGATAAAAATAACTGATTTAAATAAATTTGTCTGAGAACAAATCAAGATTTTCAAATCCAGAAAACACAAGAAAGATTAATAAAGATGTTTTAATACTGTTCCCAAGAAATCAGCTAATTTACTCATTCTCTGCTTTTTGTTTCTAATCTTATTTACTTAAGGGAGATCTAAGTAAGCGATCAATCACATCTGGTAACAAGTTGCTAAAGAAGTAAAAAGTAACAAACTATACGCCCACACAAACATTCAAAAGCAATATCCAATATTTTAATAAAAATAAACATACTCAAAAATCTAACCTCTTACATGACACGTTTAGGAAAATCCAAGTGGAAAGCATTGATATGAAAGTACCTACTAAGAACTTGAATATTACACTGAATCAAGAATTTAATTTTATTCTCTATCATTAAAATGTCTGTAATTAGATATCAATACCATTTTAATGCAAATGTGTAGCTGCAGTGTAGTAACACATAACTGCAAAATGCATAACTGAATATATGAATAAAACTTACTGTCATCCATCTGGAGACTTGGTGGGCAGTAGAATTTTTTATGGGTAATTAAATTTGGTAATCCTCTGAAGAGACTGCGGCATAATTTACATTCAAAAATAGTGTCCACATCTTTTAATAATATATGCTTAAGTTGTTTAGTTCCTGAGAGAAAAAAGAAGGAAAAACTTAACACAAAAGGTAACTTTAATATGCACATTTAAACTGAGCAACAGCTGTTAATAATCCAAAAGTATGTTTACTCTTTGAAAACAAAAGCGTAAACACTGTCAATTTCTACCGCAGTGTATTTAGAACTAAGTTATAAACTAAATTCTAAGTAAAACTCGACTATCATTTGGAAATTGGGACAGCTAAAATTGATGACCTTTTTCCACGTCAGCAGCCAATCAATTCTTAGGATATCCCACAGCAGTAGTTCTGACATCTGGTTGATCATTCCAATGACCTGGGAATAAAGATGTCATAACCCTCTCCCAGAGACACTGATTCAATAGAACTGGAGTAGGGCAGAAAAATTAAATGTCCCCCATCACTCCCTGTCAAACTTTTTGTCTGAGTCTTTCAGTTTTTTTCAGTATATTAGGAAGTGAACAAGGAGTTTTTCAATAACTGTTCCCCTGATTCCTCAAAGAAGGTCAAAACTGTTAACACAGGATTGCTTGTGACTTTTTAAAAATCGAGCTCAGGCTGAGCAAAGTGGCTCAAGTCTGTAATCCCAGCATTTTGGGAGGCCAAGGTGAGGCGACTGCCTGAGCCCATGGGTTTCAGACCAGCCTGGGCAACCTGGCGAGACCTCATCTCTACAATAAATCAAAAAAATTAGCCGGGTGTGGTAGCAAGTGCCTGTAGTTCCAGCTACTTGGAAGGCTGAGGTGGAAGGATCACATGAGCCCAGCGGATCGACACTGGGGTGGTCGTGAGCGTGCCACTGCACCCCAGCCTGGGCAATGGAGTGAGACTCCAACTCAAAAAAAACAAAAATCCAGCTCAAATTACCTCAGGTTCTGGACCAACATGGGATTATGGCTATTTAGTATGACAGTAGAGAATCTTTATCCATACTAAGAGATAATTTTGAATCTTGCCTAGGCCACTCGATAGTACTATAAATTTATTCAAAGTCTTTCGCCCTTAAAACACCCCAACTGCAATTAATTAAGTGTTGATATAACTACTAGTTTAATGCCCATCTTCTCTACTAAATTATAAACTCAAAAGCAGGCAAGACCAACCCTACTTTATTTACAAGTACAAAGAGCTCAGCTCTAATAATGTTCAATAAGTATCTGTTGAAAAAATGCTACTGATCTAGGGAATCTAAGCACTATAATGGAAGAGCTTAAGGCAGAGATAAATTAAGTGGCAACAAGCATTCAATCTTTAAAATAAAAACATCCACCAGGAATAAAACACAAATGGAAGGTCTTTAGTCACTGCTTCCTATAGATCTCTGCCACAAGGAAGCTGACAAAATGGACCTGCAAAAGTGCTTTACTAATGAATGAATGTGTTTAGTTTCCTCAATTTTTTTTTTTTTAAAAAGACAATTTACTAACTTGAAGAGAAAAAGACCAAACAAAGTGCCCTGAAAAATATCATTAAGACTGTCTAGCTGCAAAGTATGCTGTCATTGAACAAGCATTTGACTATCAAGTTTTGGGACTATTAAACAGTATAATGTATCTTGGTATAATTAACACTGCAAGGTCTACAAAAGTTAAATAGTTCTGATTCAATCTCTTGCAATCTGCTTACATTTAATTTTTGAAGTGTATTTTATCATCATTTTGAAGATAGGTTAGCCCTCAAAATTCTACTGTAAAAAGATTACCAGGTTATCAGAACTTTACTAGAGATTCCAAATCTGTTGTGACCTTAAAGAGCCTGATAGTCTTTTCACTCTGGTTTATCTCTCTTGTAAAATGGAACAAACCAAACCTATCTTGAAGAATTATGAAGTAAAATACGAACCTAAATCCCAGGAAAACCAAATTATACACTGAAGTTTCTACTGGAAAAGCATAAATATCACGAAATAACTTCCACCGTTTTCAAAATCCAAATTCACGTTTACTCCACTAGACCTTCGAAACCATAAAGTCAAAAAACTTAAATTTAAAAAGAATCAGAGTAGCCTGAGTGCTAGTTATTCTTTATACAAGAGTAAAACTCACATATATATTTATTTAGTCCATTTCACATTTACAAAATATCTTGGCAATATACTGCTAATATATTTAGCTCATAGTTAACCTCATAAGTGACTGACAAACTATGAGAAGTAGGCTGATTATAAAAACACTTTGGCTAAGCCTCTCAAACTATATATAGTTTTCAGGAATTGTAGTTGAATATAGTAGCAGTGGGGAAAAAACAAAAAACTTGTGCACATTTTGATTCTAAATTAAAAGTCCTGCTAGACCCATACTACAGATTCAATTCTGCCTTTAAAAATAGTCAAAAAAGATTGAAGAGGAACACAGAAATAACCTGAACCAGGTATAACTTAGGAATTCAACTGAAGATTTAAATAGACTGTATGTACATGGCAGCAGATTTAAAGCATAGAATAAATTGGTCTGTAAACAACATGAGGTTATATATAAAAAATAGTCAAGTGTAAAATACAAAACTACATTCCTAAATCAGATGTATCACCTTGTCTACCAGGTTCTCAATCAGAAAAATTTAAACATTATCAATCTCTCAATTAGTTCTAGTCCATTTATATATCCTAGTCCAGTTAGTTATATTTAGTAGGGAGTATATATTTATCACAATAAACATCCAAAAAAACGTATTTCCTTCTAACCTTGACTAATGAATCTTCATTATCAGACACAAATGTTTCCCCCTACCACACATATGCATGTGAGTATATGTGCACACACGCACATAAGCATGTACATACACACACCGAATTACTGTTGATCCAGGCATATCTTCAGGTCCATAAACAAACCAAATGTTCTCTCTCCCTCATTTTTCAGGATTTCAACTATGTTTTTTTCTGACTATAAGATTCTTTCACTTCCGGCTTACTTCTAGCAATCCTTCAGATCCCAGGTTAAATGTCACTTCCACTAGGAAGCCTTCACCTACCTCTCCTGTATTTTTGTTAAAAATCCTTTACCTATGCTCCCATAGGCCCCTACACAACTATATTAGTTTATTCCACTCTTATAAAATTCATTACTTTTCTATATCTCCATTAAACTAAAAGATCTAGAACAGAGATGGTATCTTTGATGCTCATCACTATATTCCCAGCCCTCAGGATAATGCCTGATTGGCATTTGCTAAATGACATACTAGAAAGTGCTGTTTTAAAAAAAAACAAAAACTTATCTAAAAACAAGATTTTTTTTTTTTAATCTATGGGAAGTTGACTGGGAAGATTTCTAATTCTACTTATACATTTTACAAATGAGAAAAATAAGATGTATCCCATTCCATGTGTCCATTCATAGAGAAAGTGTTTCCCTAAGTTACAGTCACCATTTAAGGTTTTGTTACATTTTCCTACAGGGAAGAAATGGTCTTACTCAAAATCAGCTACTATTTTCTGATTGCTTTGCTCACTTACAATTAGACACAGCCAACCAACTATGCTTCTGTCAATAGCTAAAACTTCCTGTCACCTGAGACAGCAACTGACATAAAGTTCTTCCACAGCTCTTGAGCCTGAAAAAGAGAAGTCACGCTGCCTTCCTCCTTCTTTTCTAATACTGCTCTCTTCTTGCCTTAAGTTTGTAAATTATCTTAGAAATCGCTACTAACTGCTTACATAGATCATCAATCAGTACCTTTCAAAAACCGGCTTTTCAAAGAGTAAGGCTTTCGAAAACTAAAGATTAATTAATGAATATATATCCCAGATTCTCACACATAAGAGCTTCTTATTAAAATTAAACCTCATCATAGGTTTATCTTGTGCTATTCTTTAATGGCAAATGCACTGCGTGTACTGATGAAAATGCTTAAAGATTTTTTTCAAAAGAAATCAGTATTCAATTTCACATTAAGCTTGATGGTTAGTCACTTAATGACATAATATTAACTCTAACTCTTCTGTACTAGACAAAGACAAACCTTTTTTAAAAAAATTTTTTGAGACAGGGTCTCATTCTGTCTCCTAGGCTGGAGTGTAGTGGCATAATCATAGCTCACTACAGCCTCAAACTTCCGGGTTCAAGGGATCCTCCTGCCTCATCTAAGACTACAGATGTGCACCACTGTGCATGGCTATTTTTTTTTCTTTTTGTAGAGAAAGAGTCTTGCTATGTTGCCCAGGCTAGTCTTGAACTCCTGGTCTCAAGCAATCCTCCTGCCTCTGCCTCCCAAAGTGTTGAGATTATAGGCATGAGCCACTGTGCCAGCATGACAAAGACAAGCTTTCATTTCTTTTCTCAATGCACTGACATTCTGGTCAATAACCAGTTTAAGCTTTTTAAAGGGTGTACTGCTTGCCTATTGTTGGCTGACACATAAACCCAATCTCCTTTAAGATGACAATTTAACTACAGTATCATCGAAACACTGCATGCAAATGCATGTTCCTTGTCACTTCTGAAGAAAACTCCTAATCGATCATCCCTTAACATCATTACTCAACGGTACAAAGAACTTAAGAAAATTAGAATTGCTACCCTAAAACTACCACCTATAAGCACTGGTTAAAAAAAAAAAACAAAACTAGGTTAATTATGGAACACTGCCACATACCACAATAAATTTATCAGTAGGATAAAATTATTTCACGAAGTGCTTACTTGGTGAAACTTTTAGTTTACTCTAACAAAGACATATTAAGCACCGATTAAATATCAGGTACAATGTTACTCACTGGAAATATAAAGGTGAAGGAAATGGTCTATGCCCCTGAGAAACTCAGAGACTAATGTAAATGGCTGTTGTCCTAGGAACATAACACCAGATGACTTATTTTCAAGATAAGTATAAGAACAACAAATTAAATAAATCTAGATTTTTCTTATTTATCCAAAAGATTTCCAGTCATATTTTGAATTTCCTACGATTGTAATGTAACAATTAAAAACAAACAAAAAAATTCATCACAGAATACAGCACTCTCCTGGGTACCTCAGATAAATCAAACTTCCACCCCAAGTTCTGCCTATAGAGTCGGGACTGAGGCATCACCATTCAGTCACGGCTTATGCTAACTGCAATTAAAGTTGCTTTAAACAGTTTTTTTTTTAAGTTTAAGAAGCTAAATGACCAAACCTAAATTTAGAAAGGTAAACATCACACAAAGCTAATTCTCATTTTTCATTACCATAGTATAAAAGTTCTAATTTATTCCTAAGAGTCAGAAGAGTTCCTTGCACATAGCAATCTAGTCTATTACACATGCAGAATCTTTTTTCTGCAATATTATATGTTCTCTTTTCCTACAATATTATATATTTCAAGAATTTAAAAAGATGTCAACTTCATATTAAAGACTCGCCTTGACTACTAGACAAAATCCTTCTCTTTTCCCCCGTTTTTCTGTTTCAAAGCTTAAGGCATTCCACAGCTCCTATGCCTCTACTAGACAACTAAGAGATTATAAAAGAATATTAAATTTAATTAACCAATTTAATAAATGCATAAAAGATATTTAATATTTAAAGGCAGTACACTTTTTATTTGCCATTTAAATTTTGTTTCGATTTGGGGAGAACGGTCAGATAGAAAGATAAACTAGTAGTGTTCATGGAAAGGAGGGAAATTTGAAGACAACAATCCACAGACATGATCCTCGAAGAACTCACATAGCCAAGGCAAGACTCCACAAAAGGCAGGGCACAGTCAAAGCCAGGGCTTCAGAGCAAACAGCAGGTCTCAGGTTAGCTAACCATCAGGGGTTTCTACAGCTGCAAAACACACATGCTTCTAAAATGTCAGACAATAGCTGAATCTACAGTTAATGAAGCAAAGGCACCTAAGAGTGTGCAGTCAGTTGCCATTTGTACTGGGAAGAAAGTGAAGGATCTATGTCTATATAAGCATACAGAGTGTCTAGAGGAAGACACACAAACCAAGTAGCAGTGGATGCCTGAGCAAAGGGAAATGGAGGACAGAACATCCAAGATACCTGCCTTCAGCTCTCTATGCTTTTGTACTTTATTTTTTTAAACCACAGGCACATATTACTTACCATAAAAATAAAAATCTATTTAACTTAATTTGCAATTAAGCAGCCAGAAATAAAGAGATACCAGAGGTCACATAGAATTTATATTTTAAAGCCAGGAAAACAAGTCCCAAGCAAAAGCTGAGATGTATAAGGCAAACAGAATGGAATAAAACTGGTCAAGCAGTCAGTACAGCACATGGGTTGTTGGATCTTAAAAATGAGTCCGCTTTTCTGAGTCAGAAAACTTTTGTGAACTTCCAGCTTAGATAGGAATATCAGGTCACAGACAGCACAGTGTAGGCGGAAAAAGGTGAGACACAAATGGAGATGATACAGTAGCTGCAGATAAATGCCTGAGCTTGAAGACAAAGGTAGACATCCTAACATACTACTACTGCCCAACCTGATTTAGCCCCTGTAGGTTAACAAGAGCAAAAGCATGGACTTCAGAGTTCTATCTTTAAATTGCTGTCAAAGATACATAGCATCACCAGGATAGTTCTTTAATTGCAGTATGTGTGACCTAGTTGTAATGGAAAGAACCTAGAAACAGATGAGTCACTGAGGGTGTACTTGGGAGTAGAGTGGAACAGAGAGAAACTGACAGATCCTCAGGGTTAGAAGGGATTTTAAGTTCCCAAGTTATGTGACTCAAACTTCCATACCATTCTCCCAAGGTTTTAGTCAGCTTCAATTTAAATCTCTTAGTGCCAAAAAGAGCTACCTTTGTAGACTTTAGATTATCCAGAAATGGAAGTGATTACTACCTTGAGAAAATTACATTTTTTTTGGTTACAGGACACAATAATAAAAAAATTAGCCAGGCATGGTGGTGTGTGCCTGTGGTTCTAGCTACCTGGAGGGCTGAGGTGACAGGATCACCTGAGCCTAGCAGGTCGAGGCTGCAGTAGCTGTGAGTGTGCCACAGCACTCCAACCTGCGCAACAGAATGAGACTCCTACTCCAAAAAAAAAAAAATCTTCTTTAAATCCAAAATTAGTTTCTCTGTACAGCTTAGCATATTTCTGAATCACCTCTAATTTAAAAGACTAGGTAATTAGAGAATTAAAACAACATTTTCAGAATTTGCCTATTAAGAAATAACTTTCAAAAGGCAAAACTGCTTGGGTCATTTTAGAAAGAACACACTTCAAAAGGTAAATCTAAATGGCTTTAGAATTATACCATTTCAGATTACCCATTTCTCTGTCCCTCTTCTTTACGTAGATAGTAAAGAAATGACAAACACAGAAAACAGATGACCACAATGCAGTAAAAAAGCAAGTTCATCTTTAAATATCTACCTTCAAAAATTAAAAAAAAAAAAAAAGATTTTGGGTACAGGTTCTTGTTGAAAAGGCATTTTTTTAAAAAAATCAAAGCTTTTATGAATTAAAGAATTCTAATTTTTAATCTAAAAACACAAGCTAACGCAAGTATAAAGGTATAAAATAATCTTATTAGTTACAAATTATGAATTTTAAAAAAGAAACTTACAACAAATAATATTACCAAATGAGAAAAGCTATTACTCTCGTTTACTCACTATTCTAAAAGAAGCTAAAACAAACAGAAACTGTTTTTCTGTCATGTCAGAAATATAAATACTGCCCTAATAAGTAAAATGTTACTTATCATAGGAAAACTGGACCTATAAACTATTTCTGTTAACAAAAAGCAATTATCAAAAGTAAAAAAACAAAAATAAAAAATAGCCTTAAATAGGTTATACCTCCATCCAACATGGAGAACAGGCACATAGTATATGCTAAATAATTACTGAATTAAATACCTAAAAGCAATAGCATGAGTACTACAGATATAAAGGTCTAAAAAATGGATCTTGCCGGGCTCGGTGGCTCAGCCTGTTATCCCGTGCCTTTGGGAGGCTGAGGTGAGTGGATTGCCTGAGCCCGCGGGTTCGAGACGCGCCTGGGCAGCGAGACCTCATCTCTACAATAAATA